ATCAGAATTACTGGGAACCTCTGAGATTGTTTCCTTCTGAGAGTTTTGTAAATCATTTTCAAGTTTTGAAATTTTTTCTTTTAACTCAGAATTTTCTAATCTCAGATTCTCAGTTTCTTCAGAGTCAGAAACAAGATCCTTTTCCAGGTTCTTGAATTTGACTCGAAGCTGCTAATATCTTTCAAGAATTTCACTCAGACTTTCTCCTAATTCAGCTTTAGTAAAGTTTACTGTAAAGTAAGGAAATACCTCTTCTGTGTCTGATTTGGAGTCTGACTCTGACCCAGATGATTTTGTATCTTCTGTCACGTTGGCCATAAGAGAAATGTTGGCTCTTCCATCTTCTGATTCAGTGTCTGCGTCAGAAGTATCTGAGTCATCCCATGTTTCCATGAGACTTTTCTTCTTCTCCTTGAAGAACTTCTTTTTGGGTTTCTCCTTCTGAAGCCTTGGACAATCGCTTTTGTAGTGCCCTTGTTCATTACACTCATAGCAAACAATGTCCCCGTTGCTTGACTTTTTGTGTTCAGAAGACGATTTAGACTTTCTGTGTCCAGAAGAAGATTCAGACTTTCTGTATCCAGAGGATGATTCATTCTGATTCCCCATTCTTATGGAGTTTCTGAACTTCCTTTGCCTCTGCTTCTATAGCTGATTGACTCTTCTGGAGAGAAGAGACAATTCGTCTCTTCTGATGAGGATCCACCGGAGGTTTCTTCCATAGCCTGCAAAACTTTAAAATCATATTTTTTGTTAGATTTTAGAGCTAAAGGCTTACCTTGCTTCCGAGGCTCGTCATCTTCTAACTCTATCTCATGACTTCTGAGCGAGTTGACAAGTTCTTCTAGAGATATCTTATTGAGATCTTTTGCCAGTTTAAGAGCAGTGACCATGGGCCTCCATTGCTTTGGTAGACTTCTGATGATCTTCTTTACATGATCAGTAGTTGAATACCTTTTGTCTAGAACTCTCAGCCTATCAACTAGAATCTGGAATCTTGAGAATATTGCTTCAATGGTTTCACTTTCTTCTATCTTGAAGGCTTTGTATTTCTGAATGAGCGCAAGGGCTTTGGTTTCTTTTACTTGCATGTTGCCTTCATGCGTCATTCTCAGAGAATCAAACATGTTTTTAGCTGTCTCTCTGTTTGTGATTTTCTCATACTCTGAATATGAGATGGCACTCAGGAGAATCATTCTGGCCTTGTGATGATTTCTGAAGTCACGCTTTTGATGGTCAGACATTCTTTTTCTATCAATCTTCTGACCACTTTCATCCACAGGATGCATGTACCCATCAATTACCATATCCCAGAGATAAACATCATGAGCCAGAAAGAAGCTTTCAATTCTGTCTTTCCAGTAGTCAAAGATTGGAGGTTTGCCGCTGATTCTGTCTTTATCATAATGGTAGTCATTGCTGATATTCTGACTTGGTCCCACCATAATATTTTTTTTAAACTTAGATATTATACTAACACGGTTAAGTGCTTGAACTCAGAACCAGACGCTCTGATGCCAAATGAAAAATTGAAAAACACAAGAGGGGGGGGGGGGGGGGTGGATTGGGATCTTAAAAAAATATAATGCAAATGACACGATGATTTTTATCCTGGTTCGTTTGATCTCAAACTACTCTAGTCCACCCGCCAAGGTGATTTCGCCTCTCTCCAACGAGGTCTTAATTCACTAATCAAACTGATTACAAATCTACTTTGACAACTGCCTAAGTCTTCTTGAGTACAACCACAACCCAATTTATCTCAAGGAATTGCGCTAACAAAAGTATGAACAAAGCAGTGTACAGTATATTTTTCGTTCCAAAAACAGTATCACAAACTTGTGATGTATTACACAATTTAGAGAGTAATATGAATAAGCAGTAGCAACGCTGAGAGATTGTAAATTGTAGTGTTGTAAATTATGAACGATTTAACCTTATTCCTTGTTTAAATAGGCGCAACAATCTTGTGCAAATGGAAACTTGATAAATATCAGTTAATGCACTTTCCTCAATTAGAAGATCCTTGTCTGTTTGTAGTCGTTGTAATTGATACAACTTTGATGAATAGTAACGCTTCAGAACATTAAGGAATTTGTTTGCTGCTTGCTTCAGAATATTGGAATATTAGAATCATAAGGTCCTGTTTGCAGCGTTAGACTTCCGTTCAGAGTTAAAACGTCTTTCTCTTAGTGCAAATTCTGATCTTCATTCATCAGAACATTCTGAGATAAGTATACGTTCACAACATGAACAACCTTGTAGCTTAACTTCTGATCCACTTCTGTCAGAACTTCTCTACAAAATAGAATATAATTTTAGAGTGCATATTTGTTCTTTGTGTTTGTTATCATCAAAACTCTTATGAGGGTTGTAGAATCAAACTATGTTCTAATAACTTCCACCCCAACTACTATTTCCTTTTCATTTTTCTTTACCACCTCATATGATTCCTCCTTTTCCTCATTCACTTTGGGGTTTGAATTCACCATTATATTCTTCAACCCAATAGCTTTGCATGTTTCATTTTTTAGACTATCCACCGTGTTACCAATAAATCCCCGACTTGAACTAGTTTGTGCAGCCATTTGTTGAGTCAATTGATTGATTCACATCTCTAAATTCTTTATCGATGCCTCAATATTGTTGTTCACAATGATTTGATTTTGTACCATCTCCTACTGAGTTTTAAACATGTTATTATGATTTGCTCACCTGCTCAAAGCTGCTTGAGTAGCTTTCATGAAATTCAACAATGTTCCTCAAGAGGTGATGGTTTCCTTTACGGTGCTTGTGGAACCCGTTAAACTCTTTGATTAGCATTTAATGTCTGGTTATTTCTTTATTTGAAGTTCAGATGATCTTTCCAACCACGATTGTAGGTGTTGGAATAAGGATTATTCTTTTGAAAATTTACATACTGAACTTTCGCACTCTCAATCTCTATTGTACAGTTATCATTTTCATGTATTTCTCCACAAAAATCACACTTTAACGTTTGAATTTGACTCACATTTGCTTATGCAAGTTGAGATGCAGCTAACTGTTTAGAAATGACCTCCATCCGAACTAATAATGTTGTGTTCAAATGAACTGTATGGATAGCTTTTTATTTCTCCAACCGTTCACTTGAGCGATACTCATTCTGACACATATTCTCTATTAGTGTTTTCATTTTGTTTGATATATCTATGCACTGACAAAATAATTTATTTTTATTATAATATTCTTTATTAATATATAAAATAGTTATGAATTAAAATATTAAATAATGAGAAAGAGAAAAAAAAAGTTTTTTACCTTAATTTATTTGATATGTTTATGCACTAGATAAAATAATATTTTTTATTATAGTATTTTTTATTTATATATAAAATATTAATATTTATGAATTAAAATATTAAAAAATAAGGAGAAGAAGAAAAATGGTGAAGACATTTTTTTTACTATAATTGTTTGATATGTCTACCCACTAGATAAAAAAAATATAACATTTATTATAATATTTTTATTGATTTATAAAATATTAATATTATATGAATGAATTAAAATATAAAATAATGAGAGAAAAATAGACATATTAAAAATGAAATTTTGATATTTATTGATAATTTGTGTTTGAGATAAAAAATTGTCTTATAATTTAGTGAAAGAAAATAATTTATGTTTTTGTTCTATTTTTTGCAATGTATTTTGTCCCTTTCCAAAATTAACTTTTGCGTCAAATAGGCTACAAAAAATTATCCAATTTAATCTATTATTTTTTAACAAATCAAACGTACGTAATAGTTTATATAAATTAAATTCATTAAAATTAATTATTTAAAATATTAATTTAATACATTAAAAAGTTAAAATTGTAACATTTTAAAATATAAACGATGTGTTAATATTTTAAAAATTCATCTAGTATATTTTAGAAGAAGAATGTAATAATTTAGAGAAGATTATATTATTAAACTTTTTTTTGAATTCATTCTATAATTAAAATTATGTGACAATTTAATTTGACTAGTTAATTAAATTCAATTACTATACATTAATAATTTTAATTAGGAGTGTTTGAGGTATAGTTAGAATTGATTTTGAGTTAAACATTTGATTTAAAATGTATTTATTTATGGTTTGATTTGATTTTGAGTGATTGGTTAAAAAATCTGATCTAATACTATCCAATTTTATAAAATTTGATTTGAATGATTTTTAAATATCCCAATAATAAATTATAACATTTTTTAATAAAATTGCTAAAATATTTAATTTTTATAAAATAACACAATTAGTTGTGATCAAATGAATTAATCTTCATTTTCAAAGTTTATCTAGTGACCAATTAAAAATACAATTTTATTTCACATATATTGTTTTTTGTAAAATTTACATTCAATTAATAACTGTCAAACTCTTAAAATATTTCATTTTTATTATAATCACCTATAAAATAACACGCATATTAATTGTGATAAGATGATAAAATGAAAAGAGAAAATTTAAAATAATTTTTTAAATGAAATTTTTATTATTTTTTAATAAAATATAACAAATATATTTAAATATAATTTAATTAAAGAAATAAAAATAAATAAATATATATATATATATATATATATATATATATATATATATATATATATATATATATATATATATATATATATATATATATATATATATATATATATATATATATATATATATATATATATATATATATATATATATATATATATATATATAAAAATCGTATCTAACTTTTATCCAATATAAAATTGTTTACATTTTTCTCATAAAGAATAAAATAAAAATATACTTAAGAAAACACGTTTAAAAGAATTTTATTTTTCTTAGTCGGTTAAGTTAATTTTGTTTTAATTACTAGTATTATTTATCCCGAGTTTCAATGCATATGATTCTGTTTCCCTTTTGAAAATTGAAATAAAATAAATTTCATTCCAACTTCACAGAATCTAAAACCTCTCCGGTAACCAACCAATTCCGCCATGGAAGAGTCCCAACCACCACCACCACCACCACCACCACAATCTCCAGTTTCTCCGATGACAATCGACGGTGCCGACAACGACATAATATTCGCTAACTCGGCCGTGTTATCTAGGCGCGAGGTTCTGACTCGCCGACTCCGCCGAGTCAAGCAACTCACTCGCTTTTACCGGCGTCACTACTGGGCTCTAATGGATGAGGTTAAAGCTAAGTACAGAGACTATTACTGGATTTATGGGAAGAGTCCTTTCAAAGAAGATGAAGAAAACCCAAACGGTGTCGTTTTGGGCGAAACGGCAAATGAAAATGGTTCTGCTGTTGGTGATGATTTCGTTCGTTGCGCTTATAGTGGATGCAAGACTAAGGCTATGGCTCTTACTAGGTTTTGTCATGCGCATATTTTGTCTGATTCGAAGCAGAAGCTTTACCGGGGATGCACCGCCGTGGCTAAAAAGTGAGTTTTTTTTTTAATTCATTTATTTTGAATATATTTTTTGATTTTATGTTTTGTTTATTTGGGTTTGCTGGATTTTTTCTTGATGATGGTAATGTTGAGTGAAGTAGAAATTATTGATTAACAAGTATGCGTATTTGAGTTTCTTGTAATTTGGGAATTAATGTGATTTTAGGGCTTGTTTACTTATTTTTATTTTTGGATTTTGCTTTTGTTTGTTTCATGGATTTGGTTGTGTGGCTTTGGGAAAGATGAAAAAGAACAATAGAGGAAATGAGTGGGTATTGTTTCTGGTTGATGAAAAAAATAGGGAAGTTTGTTTGTTTTCTGTTTATGGGTTATATATGAGGCGAAATCGGATTCCAGTGTGCTGTAAAATTTTTCACACATTCGGTTCATGTGTAGTCTTTGAGTTTCGAGTTCAGATCACTTCAGATTTTAATATAAATAGTACATATATCTTTGATATCTGAATAGCCTGATCTCAATCGAACGACCACAAGTGCACCAAATGCCTGAATGCTGTCAAAAATTGAAATTGACAGCAGGTAATCATGTTCCATTGACAGACACAGACAGACAACAAAAGTCATAGTCAAAACCAATAATAATTTGAAAATATAAATTAATAAAATGTAATTACACGTGTTGGTGGTGGCGTGGCGTGTCAGGGTTTGGGCACAGATCAGGTTTGAGTTTAGTCAAAAGTCGGTGTGGTGACTGCATGCAGTTAGTGTTCTCGTGGCCATTCAATTAAGATTGAATGGTTCATATTTTAACGTCGAAATGTTATACTAAACAATTGTCCTATACCATCCGATCAAGATCATATGGTTGTGATGTGCTGACTACACCTGACTGCATGCACTACTGAGCTGTCTGCATCTAATCCAATTCCGTCCGGACAATCTTTCAGAAAAGCTTTCAATAGGAAGTCTCCATGCCATATATCAGTTATTGATTATTTTGCTTTCATCCTGAGTGCACCCTCTTCTGTTTTCCAATTAAGTTTTGATTGATGGGTATCTGCTCAAAATTGTTTTTCCTTTGGGTTAAAATGTTACATTGGCTACTTTTTTCTCGAGAATGTACAAGATTGCTCTTTCTCGGTCTTGTCATCTAGGCTAGTGACAGGGACTTTGGCAATATGGGGTGTCTAAGTCCCACATCAAGTAGTATGAAATGCTCGGTGAAGTACTCAAGTGATCTGATTCTTCTTCCTTAATAGCTAGATTTTGAGGGAGAGTTTTCCAATTGCTTGGGTACTCATCAACTTATATACAAAAATCACCGCATGACCCCAAACGCCAATGCATATCTATTGAGTTCTAATTAGTTGTGTGTCATGACAAGGTACACTTCAAAACCTCACGAATGTAAATATGCCATCTTGCACTATACAGTTTTTAAATTCTATTCAGAGCTTACACTTTTGTACTTATCTTACTAATTAAATTTAATGTTGGTATTTTATTGGATAATTGTTTTTCTCATTTATGTCAATCATTAACAATTGGTAAATTGGTTTTTTGTTCTTTTCTGTTTTCATGCATTACATTTTGTTTTTCTTGTTTGTAATAATTATCATTACCTACAGAAGACAGTTTAACTTAACTGATAAAGTTTTGGCTTTATGCAGCTTGCCAACAGGGCCATCCTATTGCAATAAGCCAGTGTTGAGGTCCATGGTTCCTTGTGCATGCCCTGCTCATTACCAATTAGGTGAAAAGTGCTTGCTTCGTGCAGTAAAAAGGGCAGGTTATAATATCTCAGTTAATGGTAAGCCTAGTCCAAATTTCCATGAATTAGTTCCTGAGTTTGTCCGCCAAATTCAAAATAGACGAAGAGCTGCTCGTAGGGCAATGCTACCTAAGCCTGAGACTGAATAACCAAAGATTATGCTGCTGATTACTGGAAATATTATTGATTCATTGAAGACATTGCACAGTATATAGGGAGGGCAGGTTCCAATATCTGAGAACAGAGTTATGACTTGGTGTTGACTGTTGAAGCATCAAGTGTTAATAAGAAATGTACTTAGATACATGTAAATTGTGAGTATTCTAGACATGTCCTTAAATTTTGCGTTTCTTTATTCTTGCTCAGTCATTTTATTGGCACCCTATGAGCAGCATAATAAATCATAAAACATTAAATTGTTGCTTGTTAGTCATAATAGGAATTTGTTGTTATGGATTGGAAATTTCTATTCTGAAATTCTTGATGCTCATGTTAAAGTCATTAACCATAGTATCCGGGCTTGTTGATTTTTATAAATGCTTGATGAATTCATTTGATCTGTTATAGTTTTGAGATTTCCTCTTAAGATTCATTGAGGACTTTGATAAAAATTGCCACTTTAGAGACATTAATTTTCATTGCTCTTTTGAAACATGTTTTCTATAAATTAAAATAAAAGTGATTTTGATATAAATAAAATAATATTACTTTTTAAAGATTTTTAAGAAAACCATAAAGCTTTAATGTGTTATTTTAAAATTGTTAAAAGGGATTTTGTAATTTTCTCATCTATTATACTTGATTTTCTTCAAAAGTTAAAAGAAACATCTTTACATTTTTAGTGTAAAAATCATTTTTTAATAACATATTGTTTTGAAAATAGCTTACACATACATAGTTAAAACATCAAAGAAGATTTTTTAATTTGAAAAAAAGTAACTTTCTCATATTTTAAACAAACATGCTCATAAACAAACACAAGCCCATGTCAAAAAGGTTTGTTCATGTCGTGATATTTTTGCTCTTATGATGCAAATGGTCCTAAATATTAGAGTATTAGAAAATATAGGTAGCTACTATTTCTTGGTACAAATAAAAGTAGCAACTATTTCCTTTTGTTATCGTTCTATTTCTAAATGGTGAATTGCTGACTGCTGCTCTACACAATGATCAGTCACATGCTACTGCTATCAGGAAAGTGCGTCTGTCATCGATCAAATACCTTAACCTCTTCCCAGAGTAGTCAATAGCAACACTATAGTGGGATAGAGGAGCGGATGCCGGCTGCATTGAGAAAGCCTTAGCGGTGCGTAACACCATAGCAAGCACTATAGGGTAAAAAGTGGGTACTGGTAGTGGGGGGCATAGTGGTTCCCTGTCTGAAGTGGTTTCTGGCCTGCCATCCTTTTTTTCTTTGAAAAACCAAAATTTCCCTTAGATTTAAAATATTTCAAGAGTAATATTGAGGTTTTCAATCAAATTTGAGTTGAGAGTCAACCCTAACCTTCCTTCACACTGTCGTTTCTTTTCTCCACTTCCGTCGTTCCCATGCGTTCCTCCCTCATCTCTCTCTCTGCACTTTGTTATTCCCTTTGCTGCCGTTCCTCTCTCTCAGCTGCCGTCTTCTCCCTCTGCTCCGCTCTATCATTTCTTTCTTTTAGGGTTGGTTTTCTTCTTTGTTTCTTTCTTTTTCTCATGTTTTTTTCCTTTTTTTGCTATGATCCTCTATTTTTTTCTCCATCTTTTCCCTCTGTTTTACTTTTTCTTCTGTGTTTTTAATTTAATCCCATCGTTTCTTTTTGTTTTTTCTTCTTATGTGTTACTGTCTTATTGGTTTGTCTTATGATTAAATAGGGGTCATCCCACTATCCGCTATCCCACTTTTGGGGTCGACCATTCCGTGCTGAGATTGACTACTCTGTCTTCCTTGTTATGGTTATTTATTCTATCACTTAAGTTTTTTTGTAACACATGACCTTAGCTTTGATATTGCTATGCTGTTTATTTTAGGGTTTGGCAATTAGTGCCAAACTTTTCAAGTTTATAAGCTGGGAGCAATTTTCCTCACTTTTTACATTTCTACAAAATCATACATATTTTTGGCAGTATACTTTTATCCGAAAGTGTATTTTCAAATGACACAAAGTTTGTTACTTTTCTTGGGTTTGAGCAAAGTTTACTACTTATAAGCCTGATGTTTCTATGTATGTCTGGTCTTGGGTTATGCTGGAAGCATGTACTACAAATATTTTTCTTTAAGTTCTAAATCAAATGAGAAACGACCAATAACATATTGCAATATGAATGAGAAAGAGGCAATGTAAACCAGTTTTATATGGCTAATGAAGGTGAGTTCAGTTGGTAAGGAGTTGACTCGCTGAAAGGTTATGAGTTCAACTTCTGCAGCCAGAGATGAGGACCTCTTTGGTGAGTAATATGTAAGTACCTTAAAAATCTTTGAGTTTTGAGGTTAGAATATAGTGTGATTTGGTTATGTATTTAGTATCAAGTACTTTGGTAAGCCTTTCAGCTAATCTTGAGCCTGATTTGTATCCTTAATTCAACAGATTCTTTAGTCAGATATCCCGCCTTGTATTTTTTCATTTCCATTAGAATTTTTTACCCTGTTCTAAGGTTTTATTGGTAGAATCTTTTTCTATATGGAAATCTAGATATGTTTTGATTTTGACTGTTAACAAGTTAAAGGCCCTCTTTGGTTATTGTTCATGATTATACCATGTGTTGACTACATGAGTATCATTAGTGTATATTCTCCCTTGGATAGTGAGATATAAAACAAACGAAGGTGTGAATGGTCTAGTCATTGTAACAGAACCAATCTTTTAGAGAAGGAAGTAGAAAAAGTCATCACTTTCTTGATCATAACTCACAAGTCTTTTTGGAAATAAGCTCAAGCTTTCTTAAGGTATTCATCATGATTACCAGCTTGTCTCCGACGATGGCTTGACCTATAATTCTTATAATTGTAGCTGTAAGATGAAAAGTCATATTTCCTTCCATGTGTAACTCTCAACAATACATTTGGTTTTCTTAGTAGAAGTGTTTTGTTATTGAACCTTGCCTCCTTACCTAATTTCTCTTCCTTTCTCTGTCCGAATTGTTTCTTTATATGGAGTAATGTTTTTCTCATCTTCATGTGAATATTATTAGTGTTATGAATCCATTAGGAACAACATCTTTTTGTTGGTTCTCACATGTATGTTCTTGTCGTGTAGATAGTAATGCTGTGCGACTATTGACTGCTTTAAGTTCAAGCAGCAGAATTTTATTATCTGTTTTGTCTCTCATTCCTTTTTAACACTCCTCTAATTCTCTCAAAAGAAATACGCCGAATGAGTTTGAGTTTCTGTTTTAAGGTTGTAAAACAATTTACTATCTCTCTTGCCTTTAATTCTTTTCTAACTCGCTTCTCTAATTCTCTCAAAACAAATAGTGTTTGCTTTAAGTTTGTAAAATTTAATTTTAAAAATATAGAAGTTATAAAAATATATTTTGATATTTGTTTTAAAGTTAAAAAATAATTTTCAAATATAAAATAGGTTAAATTACTGTTCCGGTCTTTCTATTTTGTCAGATTCACGAAATTAGTACTCATATTTTGATTCAAAGAATTTTAGTTCTCATATTTAAATTCAAACAATTTTAATTCTTCTATTTTGATTTTAGTCACTTCTTATATTTTTCATATAAAATTGATGAGATTTTTTATTTTTTAATTTATATTTTTATTTACAAAGTTCAATAATAAATTTAGATACGATGATTTATAATGTTTTACAAATAATTTATTATTTAAAAAAACACATCGTTAATGTTAAGTGCAAAAGTATAAGAGAAGATTTAAAATTGTTTAAATCTAGAATACGAGAATTAAAATTATTTAAATTTAAAATAAAGAGACTAATTCTGTAACTCATGTAAAATAAGGGACCAAAACTTAATTAAACCTATAAAATAATAAATATCAGACATATACATTTTATTAAAATTATTTGAGATTAAGATTTTTGTTTTGGATTGGGCCTGCCCTTGATTCAACTATCAGTGAGGTCCAATCCAAGCTTGCCAACCTGCTGCGCTGAACAGTATTTTTACCGAGCACATCCTGACCACAGATGTCTTGTCGATCACGACTGTTTTTCGTCGGTGCTCGCAGAGACCATTCTCGACGAGCACCTTTCTCGTAGGGCTGACTTCTAATTTCTTCGGAGTTCTCGGAGTCTTCATGATCTCAGAAAGATCGCGTCCCTATCCTCCTGTCTTGCGGAGGATGTTATTCAGGTAGGGGTCACATGCGGGTCCCCACTACACACGCAGAACTTGGCAGTCTCTTTGTTGGGTCTGTTTGATCAGCTCAATAAAGAGACCTTGACCCAGCGTTGGGGGTTATAAATATCCTCTTTCGAGAGGGTCAAGTATTTAACTGATATCTCAAAACTCTTACTTGTTTGCTCATTCCGCTTCTTACTTTGCCATTGAAGTGTCTTGCAGGTATCCCCCATCTCACTTAACTTCTGTCCGAGTCAGCTGTGACGGTTCATCTCTGATCCGGTAAGATCAGTGGCGCTATTTGTGGGAAACTAAGCTTTCCCGTCTTCTATTCGCTTGAGATCAAAAACTAAATAATCCTCGACTGTCATGGCTGACCAGACTCCAGACAACCTGAACGTTCGTGTCATCGACGTTAACAACAACATCGCCGACAACAATGCCAACCTCGACAACGTTGGTACCACCGACCATAACACAATCCCTGGCGTCAACATGCCCGGACCTTCTGAATACAGAGACGGGGCAACTGCTTCGTCATTATCTCTGCCTCGCCGACACGAAGACGATCGGCCACCTCTCAGAGTTACCAACACGTCTAATTCCATGAGGTCCCTATTCCCGCCGGTTCGCGGCAATCAATCAAACCAAATATCTAATCTTCGTCCAGGAGGAAAGACTGAGGGAGCTCGAGGATGATCAGAGGCCCTCGAGAAGATACAAGAGACCTCAATATCCTCATCCTCGACAAGCAGATGAACATCCCCAATCTCCCCCGCAGAGACATAATCGGGACATCTCTCAAAGTCTATCGCCCCGACCACTCGGGCGACGACCCCCTTTGGAGAAGGAACAACTC